AGATCATTTTGAAAGGTGCTAAGTCTTTTTCCAAAATCTGTGCCCTGAATAGAAGCTCCCCTTTAATAGCATTGTAGACAATCAGCTCATGTGCAGCAGTTGCGACAGCCAGAAAATCGTGTCTATCGGATGTTGCCACTGCTTCAACCTGAAAGCAGTGCCATCACTTCAAGGAGAATTTAGTAAAGTCACATTTGATACTAGTGAATGGAGACGTACTCAGAAGTGGTGGCCCTAATGAGGACATTTCACCAAGGTTAATCAGCAGCGTGAAAGGCCCTCCTCGACGATATCGTTATTCAAAAATTATTTCGAAACATGAGAGAACAATTTTGTCGTCCTGGCCCTTAGGCCCTAATTTTGAAAGTAATCAACGAATTGTCGATGAGAACGAGGAGAAATTTTACTGGATTTAGACCATCGACACAGGCGGAACAACGTTCACCGGTCATCAACATTATGAGTAAATAGAATAAAAAGAGGCGGAAAACAGTTTCATAAAAAGTTACTTTTTCCAGTTCAAGCAACAGTGTTGGCGGTTCCGATAGTGTCACACGATAAACGTATGTATTTGTGTGAGAGTTCACCAGCAGCAGATCTCTGGTATTCAGCTTCATGATGCTATGGACAGCGGGAAGTGCAGTGTGATGCACGGTCACTGGATCCGACGATAAATCAGCTACATGAAAGCCCGTTTCGTCAAAACACGACAACAGCGTATCGGACAACGTACATCTAAAACCATTACGACATATGTCGCATATGACAGGCAGAAAATTACACATGAACAGCGAATGGTGCTTATTGTTTTCAAGGCCATGATACCTGCAGTAACGGGATTGCACGCGTACATTATCTGAATTTTATAAGTTTTTTGAATTTACAAGAAATGCGAAGGTGCGTAGCGTATTGTCGGGACTCTTCTTCCCCCACTGCTTGCGCATTTGTTTGAATGTATATTAAACTGAGGACTGCAAAAGCTAAAATTCGATGACTGTAACGGCTCAAAATCTATTTTACTTCTAATTTTACTGGATTTTGAACGGCGACCGCTGGAAGACGAGAGATAAATTTGCTTTTAAACTATGCGCGAAAATCTGACGCTAACCTCCGAATTATGCAACAAAAATCTGTACACACCGCTCGCTATTCATTACTCATTTGGTAACATGTCAACAATATCGCTAACAACTAGTAGTCCCCACATCTATACCCAAGTCTTCCTCATAGTCGTTGCCTTCAATAGTTTCCGCTGTCTGTTGTAAAAGTGTTTTAACTGTATCTGGCCGCATAACGCGTCTGATGTTTGCGCAGAAAATTTTTGGGAGGTAGCGATAGGGCACAAACCAGTAAGTACAGTATCTACGAAGCCGCAAACTAAACACTAGGAGATGTCAGGTGCTTTCTTTTACCATTAATGGGCTTATAAATAAAAGGAAAAATATGTTCGTTATACAGATTGCACAGATGTCCAGCATTAAGGAAAGCCAAATGAATGAAGTACGCACGACACAACGTGACTCACTTTTCTTTGTCGAACCAACTGGCATTGAGTTTTTGGAGTTTGGCAGTTGCACCATTTGTTATATCAATTCTTACAACACTGAGCTCTGCGCCAGCAACGCCTCCAACTGAAGTGAGCATTTGAGAGCCTGGCATCGAGCCAATCCAATCTCTATAACTTTTAACTTTCAGCAAGTCCGATCCCCTATTGCCTGGTAAATTATTATCCGACGAAGTTCAGAAGAGATGAAATAACAGACGGCGCAGTAGGATTTTTCAACAAAATTTCGGGGAAATAGCGATAGGACAGAAACAGGCACACACGTTTTGTTACCCACTTACAGCTCGAGAGTCTGAGAAGCCAAGAAGCTGAAAATTCTGGACATGTGCCCACACCATGTACACCCTCCAGTTTATTCACATACGCTTGGGTGTCACTTATGGGCGCCTAAAAGGAAACATGTAAATTTTACGTGGGGAAGCCATACAATGATAAATTCTATCACGTTTGAATAGAAAGTAATAAAGCACTGTAACAATCTACTACCTTAGAACAATAGGAACGAGGGAGGAAGGACTGTTCGAGAGACATAACATTCATCTTTGCCAGTACAACAATCGAGAATAACGTGCGTGATGTGAGCCCTCTGTCGTCTTATTTTCGTGATCTGCCTTATTATGTTACTCCACAAACTAGACTGCGGTTGAAACACCAAAGTTAAATAGCTTCGTCATTAACGATTCGCAAAACTGTACATACGGAGGCAAAACACGGGTAGTGATCTCATCATAAACGAATGAACGACCGATCCAGGGCAGCAAATTTTCAGCCATTTTGCAAGAGACGATTTTGGACTAAAGGTGAAGGATGGGAAGAAGCAGTCTCAAGAGCAGTAAGTCTGACTAATTTCAGCCTGCAACCTCAACTCAGTGAAATGGGACTCCGTGCCATCAGCCATCATCAATAACCTCGCATTGAAAATAAAGATTGCAATTTTAAAGAGAGGTTATTTGGGCCAATCATCACCAACAACTTCTCTTCGAAAGCAAAAGATTCAACAGTAGGTTCCCACCATCCTCTTTGCTAGCAAAGCCACTGCCTTTTGCCGTAAATTGTGCTTAAAATCTGAAAATTTTAGTAGAAAATGCTCGATTCATTCCAGCGGTCTGTAAATCCGATAAAAAAGCAAAGATTTACTAACTTTATATTTTCCTCATTTCTTGACCATTTATACTGGCCGTTAGCGAGAGAGAGGGCCGTGACATGCGCATCCCTGAAGATGAACACGTTGCCGTTCGAGATTAGCACTTGAGACTTCTTCCAACTGCAACATACGTAGTTTTACGAAATCTCGGAGCGTTTTTACATCAGTGATGCAGCATTAAGCAGAGGTCAAAATGTGTTTTATATACATATATACACATACAAACATATACGCATATATGTATACTGTTTGCCTTTTTTCGCTCTGGCTAAAAAATTCCAGAACGTGTATAAGACCAGAAATTCAAGACCAGTTTTTAAGTCGATGACTGTGCTGATCTTTGATCTCAATCCCAAATTTGGACAGAAATTTAAAATAGAAAGCAAAAATCCCAGGAATGAAATTTTGGGCGGTAAAAATTACGTTTACGTATGTGGACGTAAAACTAGAATCAGTTAATAATTCATTCTGTACCTTCGTCTGTGCTATTTTACGAGTTTAAGAATGAACAAAACTGCCTAGTTTTTGCCTATCCGAGGTTTTGAGCTTAAATCGTCATAAAATATAAGTTAGAAAAAAAAAAAACCAGCCTTCAAAATTGCCTCTGACCCTTGACACAAGGTTCAAACTCGATCTGTTTTTCTAACTTCAAAAAGCAAGCAAAAAAAAAAAAAACCCAAACTTTGACCATTCGTAATGTTGTGCGTAATGTATCCAAGCATGCATAGCATTATGTATGGTCAAAAATCCGCTTCCAGAGGCCATCTTTTCTGGAGTGCGATCTTATGTGCAAATACGCTCATTATTTTTAAAATGCATGCATCACTTCACTGACACTACAGAAAGTTCTATGTAGTTCCCATCAAGCCCTTCATCTACAAAAATTTGCTGCATATCGTACAGCTTGAGCATGCTGTCGAATGTTTTTCAGTAATAAACAAAAAGGAGACAGAGACTCACTTGCTGACTCCATAATGATAATTCTGGAAATTATGATAAATTTGATATTAGAAATTTTAGATACCTATTAGCAATTTGCGAAATTTGAGTTTCCCATAACAAAATTCCAGTCTCGCGGTCCCACGCACGCACCACACCGTTATTGCTTGTGAACGTAATTAGTGCTGAAACAAAAGGATTTGACAAAAATGGCGCTGAATTTGCTCTAAAAACCGGCGATTTCGTATTTACTTTCATGTTTTGTTCAGTTGCCATTTCATTATGCACAATAATAAAATTCCCACCGGCAAAAAGTGACGGGAGGAACTTACATTACAATCTAGTAATACGTACAAGAACCAGTATATCAAGTCTGCATTCTTTACATTCGAATTATTTATAACTGGTTCTACGGCTTGAGTTTCTAAA